AAGGGGTAGACTCTGGCCACAGTGCCTGTACTAGCTCCAAGCCTGCCAGTCCAGAGGCAGCAGTCACTGCACATGACACAGTGGCCCCAGCATGAGCCAGGCAGCCAGTGCCAACCAGTCCTCTGCCGCTCCCCAGGACCATTCTGCTAGCTCCCAGGAGCCTGCCAGGGGCCCGAAAAGGTGGGCGTCTGCCTGGTCCAGTGTGAAGATCAGGGTTTGGGGGGATGTCTTCAATGTCCATGATCACTTCACTAAACAGAGGAACGCAACCATCTATATGTAGATGCCTGTCAGCCTGGCCACCAAAGGCCACATGCGAACCCAGGAGCAGGTTCGCATGAAAATAAAAGAGATGCGGAAGGTGTATGCTAGGGCCACAGGGGGCAGCTCCCAACCATGGGCAGACCCAGACTCCTGCCCTTATTTTGATGCCCTGGACCGCAGGTCTGTGCCCCCCAGGTGGTCATCGACCCTGGGGCAGAGCTTGCTGCCTCCTTCTGCTCCAGCCCCTGCTGCCTCCCTAGCTACTGCTCCTCCTCCCACTTCTTCCTCCCCACCCTCCCCACACCCTCAGGGATGCCAAGGCCCCTGCACCCATGGTGCTGGGAGACAGTTGGGTCTGCAAGACCCCCAACACTGAGCACTAAGCTTCTCCTCTCCCTTCCTCCCCTTGCCTCCCCCTGACAGCTCCCTCCTCCCAGGTTTCCTCCTCCCCCTCCCACCTTCTTTCCCCAGTCCCACCTCAGTTTCATTTCTCCCCACCCCAGTTTTGTTCAATAAAGAGGCTTTTTTGTAATGAACGCGTGTCTTTTATTGTACATGAGGAAGGGGGGTAAAGGAGGGGTAAGTGGAAGGACGTGAGGGAGGAATGAAGCACAAGCCCCCAGTGATTAGCACGTGTCTTTTATTGTACAGCAGGAAGGAGGGTTAGGGAGGGGTAAGCGGAAGGATGTGAGAGAGGAAGGAGGCACAAGCCCCCAGTGGGGTATAACAGGGAGACTGTTACTGCCTGTAGAACATGCTGCCAGGCTCACAGCAACACGTCCAGGAGAAGCACCAGAGTGCCCAGGGGCGGCTTCGGCTCCATGCTGAAGAGTGGTATGGTGTCCTGAGTGAGGGCAACCAGAGCATGCAAAGAAAAAAATGCTTTGCTGTCCCTTAGCGAGGTATGCAAGCAAGCAGGGAAACCTTAGAACAGGCTGTCCATGGGGGGGTCCCTTTAAGCACAAGTCTCAGATAGCCTCAGGCAGCAGCCACACAAGGTAACTAGGTAACTCCTGACCTGAAGTCCTGCCAGAACCAGTTCCGGATGTCCTTAAATGCGATTCAGTGTCCTATCAGTGTGGACGCGCTATTTCAAAATAGCAAAACGCTATTTTGAAATGCATTTTGTGTCTAGACGTGTTATTTCAAAATAAGCTATTTTGAAATAACGCTGTTGTGTAGACATACCCATACAGTCAGAATAGCAATGAGAAGTATTGGTCAGCATGATAGTCAGTGATCTCAGCACACCAGTGATTAACTGCTGTTATTTTTTTAATGTAGGTGGGATGGTAGAGGGGAGTTTTAAGGTGAGATTTGAAGGAGAACAATAATTCCTCAGATGTGCTGATTCCTTTGGACTTGTGCACACATCTCCCAACATACATTGCCAAAAGGAAACTCTTCCTCCCTCATTGAGAAAGGGAAGCTGTCCAAATCAGTGTTAAGAGATCAAATACTAAAATATTTTATGTTTGAAAAATAGCCTCCCCCCCAAAAAAACCACCAAGCAAATTACCAAAAGATGGCTTCCTACAGACAGATTATTGTATAATTTATTCTTCAGAGACTTATCACTATTAGACTTCTTGGCGACAAGTGCGCAATGTTGACTCATATCTAGCTTCTCATCTGCTGTAATCCCCATGTTCTTTTTTGCAGAACTGCTGCTTATCCTGTTCATCCCCAGCTATAGCAGTGAATGGGATTCTTCTGTCTGAAAGTGGAGGACTCTACACTTGTCCTTGTTGAACCTCATCAGATTTGTTTTGGCCCTATCCACGAATGGGTCACTCTGGAACGTGTTCCTAACCTGCAGCTATCTATCTCTGCTCCAAGTTTAGTGTCAGCAGCTGAGGTGTAATCCATTCCATTATCCGAATCATTAATGAAATTGATGAACAAAACCAACTTCAAGACTGACCCTGGGGCACTGTTCTTGATACCATCTGCCAGTTAGATATCGTGCCATTGATCGCTATCCATTGAACCCAACGCTCTAGCCTCCTTTCTGTCCACCTGAGCGTGCATTCATCCAAGCCATATGTCTTTAACTTCTGGGAAGTATACTGTGGAAGACCACATTGAAAGCTTTTCTAAAGTCAAGGTATATAATATCCACTGCTTTTCCCATATCCATAGAGCTACAGTTATTTTGTCATAGAAGGCAATTAGGTTGGCCAGGTACGACTTGCCCTTGGTGAATCAATGTTGAATATTCCTGATCACCTTCCTCTCCTCCAAGTGTTTCAAAATGGGTCCTTGGAGGACCAGCTTCATGATTTTTCCAGGGAGTGGGATAAGACTAGCCAATCAGTAGTTCCCACATCCTTTCTCTTCCCTTTCTTGAAAATGGGCACTACATTTGCCTTTTTTGAAATGTCTAGGACTTTCCCCAATCATCATGACTTTTCAAAGATAATAGTTGCTTTACAATCATATCAGCCAGCTCATCTTATTATCCTTAACTTCAGTTGCTAGCTGCAATTCCAGTTGTGCTTTTTCCCTTTCTGATTACACCCCTGCATACTTGAACAATGTTTCTATATTCCTTCCTAGTCATCTGTCCAAGCCTAAGCTTCATTTTCACGTTTAAGCTTAACGAAGATTTCTCTGTTAAGCCAAGCAGGTCATCTGCCATATTTGGTATTTTTTCTGCACATTAGGATGGCCCTCAGTAAAGCTTGTTTGAAATACAGTCAGCTCTCCTGAACTCCTTTCCCCTTCATATTAGCCACCCAGTGGATCCTGCCTATCAGTTCCCTGAAAGAGCCAGAGTCTGCTTTTCTGAAATCCTGGGTCTGTATTCTGCTACTCTCAATTCTTCCTTTTGTTAGTATCCTGAATTCAGTCATCTTGTGGTTACTGCTGCCCAGGTTGTCACCTCCTTCTAATTCCCCTACCAATTCTTCCCTGTTTGTGAGCAGCAGGTCAAGAGAAACATGACCCGTAGTTGGTTTCTCCAGCAATTTCACCAGGAAATTGTCCTCAAACTCAAAAACTTCCTTTATTGCCTGTTCCCTGGATTTTTGCTCTCCCAGCAGGCATCGGATTTCTTAGCTCTATCTGCACTGGGGATACATAAGTTCTCTTTTCTTCTTTGGGAGGTTACATGCTGCCAATTTTTCTCCCTGTTCTGCACTGCCCTCTCTGAGGGTATGTCTACACTACCCCCCTAGTTCGAACTAGGGTGGTTAATGTAGCCATACGAACTTGCAAATGAAGCCCGGGATTTGAATTTCCTGGGCTTCATTTGCATGTTGCCGGGCGCCGCCATTTTTAAATGTCCGCTAGTGTGGACTCCGTGCCCATGGCTACACGCGACACGAACTAGGTAGTTCGGACTAGGCTTCCTATTCCAAACTATTTGTATGCCTTGTGGAACCTAGTTCATGCTGCGTGTAGCTGCAGGCACGGAGTCCACACTAGCGGACATTTAAAAATGGCGGCACCCGGCAACATGCAAATGAAGCCCGGGAAATTCAAATCCCGGGCTTCATTTGCAAGTTCGTATGATTACATTAACCACCCTAGTTCGAACTAGGGTGGTAGTGTAGACATACCCTGATTCTTTAGCATGCTATGCCTGTGGCACCAAAGGCTGACTTCTATGCAGAAAGTCTTCATTTTCTCTGATGCAACCCAGGGTAGATACTTGGGCCTGTTGACCTTTGACCTTCTCTTCCAATATGGAAGAGAGAAATCTCATGGCCTAAAAGATATCTTTGAACAATATGTAATACAAATCTGTTTGTTACTAGTATATGTGGCTTCCATCCTTGAGATTCAGTGATCAGGAAAATTAATTCACATTTGTCTTAGTGATACAGTGGGAAACTTTATGGAAAGCTCAGGCTATTCAAAGTCACCCTGAAATTTGATTTACACTCCTACCTATTGTTAGACATTATAGAAAGAAATATAATTTGGCAAATTGAAAGTCTGAAGTACAAAATAAGAAAATACCACTCTTCACGTGACAAACTTAGGCACTGTGGTGAGGTGAGTAGATGCCCGTAGCTGCCTTTGCAATATTGCAAGATTTTCATTCAGCCTTGTCTAGAATTGCAATTTTGATTGGTGCTAGATACTCTGGGTATGTTTACACTACGGGATAAGATCCAATTAAGATACGCAAATTCAGCTATGTTAAGTGCGTAGCTGAAGTCAAAATACCTTAACTTGACTTTTGGTGCTGTCCACACTGCAGGAAGTCAAAGTGATAACAGTCTCCCTTCAACTTCTATTACTCCTCATGGAAGCATGACTACCAGCATTGACTGGAGTACCGAATTTGTGTGTTTTCAATAGACCTGCAAATTTGAACCCTGGAAGATGGACAGCGGCAGCTTCAATATTCTCTGTAGTGTAGACATAACCATTTTCTCCCAAACTGAAAAGATATCTATAGCTTTAGTCAAAATGAGGTCACAACTGTTGTAACATTAATTCCCAAAGTAAATTAAAATTATTCATTATTCTTTTAATCAGCAAAGCTTAGTCCTTTGGAGCCTAACATTTTCAGGGCAGGGAATTCTGGTCTCCTATGTTAAGACCTGGTAAACAGCCAGATGATGATTATTATATAAATTCATCAGAATTTTATATATTGGTCACTTAGTCTTTACCCACTTCCATTTTTGGCAGAAGACTTTTCCATGTGTTTGTATCCAGGTGAAGATGGAGAATATATAATATACCTCCTGTTGGATGTTCATGTTTAAGGGATGATCCTGATTCCTATTTTCGAGGCATACTATTGTGCAAATCCCATTATAATGGATTTCTGCATCATATTACTTAAGAATAAGATTTTTCTTTATCTGTGCTTTCAGGTAAGGATAGATACATTTTCCTAATTTTTGGTGACTTGTTGTTTGAAAAATTAAGATCCACTAGCTAAAAGACTTGTAACAGAGTCTGCATACGGTTTTGGAAGGTAACACAGAAGTGTTTCTTTCCTATAGTTGGAGTTCTTTGAGTAGATTGTCAGTATGTATTCATGGTCTTGGGAGTTATCTGCAGATTCTACCCCTCCAATACTGGTACTCTCTCAAAAGCTGATTATTCCCAGGCTATGATGATCCTTTTTGAAAACCTGGAGTTCTTCAGGCAAGGATATATAAGAAGGCATGTCCTCCCATACTTTCGTTTCTTTCTACTTCCTCAGAGGCTAATATGGACTTCAAAGAAGTCAGGCAGGAGTGGGAGGAAGTCTAGATCAATTTTAAGTCTATATGAATTTCAGTTAGAAGTGTGTATCTTTTCTTTTGCTTCTCATACAATCATAGAATCTTAGAATACTAGAAATGGAAGGGATTGTGAGAGGTCATCAAGTTCAGTCCCCTGCCCTCATGGCAGGACCAAGCACCATCTACATCATCCATGACAGATGTCTGTCTAATCTGCTCTTAAATATCTCCAGTGATAGAGATTCCACAACCTCCCTGGGCAATTTATTTCAGTGTTTAACCACTCAGGAAGTTTTTTCTAATGTCCAACCTAAACCTTACTTGCTGCAATATAAGCCCATTGCTTCTTGTCCTATCCTCAGAGGCAAAGGAGAAATTTTTTTTCCCTCCTCCTTGATCTCCACTTTTAAATACTTGAGAGCTGCTATCATGTCCCTTCTCAGTCTTCTCTTTTCTAAACTAAACAAACCCAATTCGTTAAGTCTTCCCTCATAGGTCATGTTCTCTAGACCTTTAATCATTCTTGTTGCTCTTCTCTGGACCTTCTCCAATTTCTGCACATCTTTCCTGACGTGTTTCCTGGAACTGGACACAGTACTCTAGTTGAGGTCTAATCAGCTCAGAGCAGAGCACAAGGCATAAGGGTCTTGCGCAAAAAGGAAATGTCCACACTGCTTCTTTTTGCGCAAAAACCCCTTGTGCAAAAACAGCTTGGAATAGATAATGCAAATGAAGCATGACAAAATGCTAATCAGCTCTTCATTTGCATTGCCTCTTCCGGCAAAACGCATAGTGTAGACAAAGCCTCTGAGAATGGTTATCCAGCCAGTTATGCACCCACCTTGTAGAAGCCCCAACTAGGTTGTTTTTTTCTAGTTTATTGATATGAAGGTCATGTGAGATTATATCAAATGCTCTTACTAAAGTCTAGGAATGCTACGTCCACCATTTCTCCTTATCTACAAGTCTTGTTATCCTGTCCTATTATCTTTGCTATTCTAATCTATCCTATTGCCTGTATAGATTTCTGCTTTTTGAAGATTAGCAAGCAGTAATTAATCTTTAAGGAGATATGAATGAGAGCGACATATAATTGAAAAATGTTTGTAGAATTGCAGTATTGTATAATTTGAACTTCTCTGCACCCATCATCTATTTGTCTTTGCACTGCTTTGCATTGGTTAATGATACATTGACTCCTTTTAAGTTACTGCCTACTCTATATACTAATTGTTGCCTTAACTGCTATTTCAGGGGTGGGCAATAATCTTTAAAAGGAGTGGCCCTTGGCTACCACGAAAGGGGCAGGGCCTCAGGCAGAAGGTTTGGGGCCAGGAGACTGCTTGTGGTCCCCCCCCCCCACCTTGATTGGCCTTGGGTGGGAGAGCAGGAGAAATCTTCCCCTTTCCTCTCCCACCCCGCCCCCAAGAGAGAAATGCCAGCTGTTTTAAAACAGCTGGCAGTTCCCTCTAGGCGCCTAGTGGGAGGAGAACTCATGTGCTCTCCCTGCCTCCAGGCCAATCAGGGCCTGGGTGTGGGAGAGCGTGCAAAGTCTCCTCACCCCTGCAAGAGTGTGTGGTGGCTAGAGAGATATGCTGGCTGTTTTAAAACAGCCAGCATGTCTCTCCATCCGCCGCACGCTGTTGTGGGGGCGAGGAGATTTTGAACACTCTCCTGCCCTCAGGTCCTGATTGTCTTGATGGTGGGGGAACAGCCGGGTGGCTGTGGGCTGGATCCACTGGTTTGGCAGGCTGGATCTGGCCCACGGAGAGCCCTTTGCCTACTCCTTGTGCTATTGTGTTACCAAAAATTTATCAACCAGTTAATTGCAATACTATGTATAAGTTTCTCTCACTTCTTGAGATGACTTCTCCAGATGAAGTTTGAAGCTGATAGGTAGGGTCATAGTTTGGCATGGAAGGGAACTTGCCCTACAGTTCCATACGTGTTTCTTTTGTTGTTAAATAAGGATGTCAAGGGTGAATTTTCAAATGGGCTGAGTCTCAACCTCCCATTTTATGAAAGCATTTTGTACCCACATAAATTAGTTACTATCACAAATCTTTGTATTTATGCCTCTATTAGGCTTGTATCCGCAAAAAGGAGACGACTATTTAAAATGTCTTTGTAAAACCTATCATGCCATAATTTTTTACTAACTTCAATTGATTTAAAAAAATGGGGAAAAGTAAAGACTGTGTATTTTTCATCATGCACTCTACTTAAAATCATAGCTGTGAAAGGACTACCATCGTGATCAAAACCTTTTTGAAGGTGTTCCATCGGGGCATTCTTTTTTTCTCTGAAAGACACTTTCCCCAGTTTAATATAAATTCTACATTAGAAATTTTGCCTTTCCCCTCAACCTGGGGTCTTGTGCAGTGCCCAGAATCTTTTTCTTTGAATCTCTATCTCCTTGTTCAGGACCTGTCAGATGAATAAAGTTGATTTATTATTATTGTAAAATATTAATCTGGCAACAGCATTCTGCACCATATGTAGTTTAGTGATCAGTTATACAAGCAGAAAACTTAGCTTTAAAGTGTGAAAATCGGAGCACAAAAAGGGGAACGATACAATCTCAGGGATGGAGTGGGATAGAAAACAGTTTCATTCTGAGGACTAAGTCCGTACTTTGAGAGTCAGTGAAAGGATAAGAGATATTAATATTACTCCTTAAAATTATTTTTCTCTACAACACAGATATGCTTTGAATTAATTCACAGCAAAATTTGAGACTTTTATAAAGAAAATGAGGAAAAAATACTGTTGGAGCCCAACATTGTACAGGCAGTCCCCGAGTTACGCGGATCCGACTTATGTCGGATCCGCAGTTACGAACGGGGTTCCTCTCCCTGGTCTCCAGCAGACCAGGGAGAGGAAGCAAAGCGGCGGAACATGTGGGCAGCGGACAGGGCTGTCCGCTGCCCACGCGCTCCGAGGCTTGGCTCTGCTTTGCCCACCCCGGGGGGCGGGGAACAAAGCAGAGCAAAGCCACGGAGCCTGAGGGCAGCCAGA